GGTGAAGAAAATAGGCGTCGATTATTATATTCATTTTTCTTCTGTTTTGCTCGCGTATGCTCATGTTTGCAAAAACATGTTAGAAGTTAATATTGTTTCATAGTTATTCCAGAATGTTGAACAGAATATTTGCAAAATTTTGCTTTGAAAAGGAAATCCATGATATCTAAATACATAATTCAACAATGTTTATATTCTGCAAAGTTTGTCCATTGAATTTTTAGTAATTAGTCATTATATTTCCGACATCAACATGAAAAATATATGCTTTATTAGGTGGAGAGAATAAGCGTCGAGGTTTGAATATTTTTGTCTGTGGCGGCAAATGCTGGCCGTTCGTAATTCTTCGATCGATCGATGACTGAACGGTTTCAAAGGCACGTTTTGTGCACTTAAACGCGCGGGATATCGAGATTTTCCCTGATTTCTGAAGAATCTGCTTAACCTAAAAAACACGGTGCAGGCTTCCGCCGGAGCTACTCGAAGCTTGAATAGAAAAATGCTTAGAATCCGGGAACCGAGGTGTGTACAGGTGTCTATAGATTTACTAGTCACTTCAAGCTAGCCTAGTTATCTTATTCGAATAACATTTCGAATAAATTCTTCCAATAAAATTTTATTCGCGAAACGTATCAAGTAAATTCTTCGAATGAAATCTAAATAAACGAAAAATGTGAAAAAGGACTCCTGACTCTTTACATTATTTCAGTAAATATTTCGAATATTTTATTCGAAGAATTTATTTGACATGTATTTCTTGACTAACATTTTATTCGAACAATATCCAATTCTGTCCGTCACCCACATATGGGTAACACGGTAGTCAAAGTGTTAAGCTACAGCAGATGTTTCGTACATGTTTGTTCGAAACAATTGCAATGAAAATAGTAGTAGCATTGTCTACCCCTATAATGTTTTAAGTCACTGCCAATGAGGAGCAGAGACAACATTATATGTATAGCAGCAATAAAAATGAAATTACCTCTGAACTGTAATTTCCTGGATTCTCTCGTGTAGTTCTCGACTGGGTCGATCGTCTAATCGTCTGTAAGTAGACGTCGATGTGGCAGACGCCGGAGGAGGTGTCTCAGAAGACAAAAATGTTTGCGCTGGTCCAACGCCAGTGCTGCGTTCTACGCTGCACGCGGAACTTAGACCCCTCGATTCTCTGGACAAAAAAAGAACGATACAAAATTGCAAGCTTCCTTCGAATTCGAAGTCATTCTGTACTGTTTAAAATCTCTGGTGCAGGGCTGAAGAATGATTTTAGGATCGAGAAATTTATTGTTAACCCTTTTCATCTATCCACAATTTTGTAATAATCCTTCTTGAAATTGAAGATCAATTGCTGTAGGCCTTAAAAAATTTATTCAAAAACGATATCATTTCATTCATAATTCAACAAATTATTTGGATTAATGGAATGTAAAAAGTTCTTTTGAAATTATTATTTATAATATAAATAATATAATATATAATATATAATATAAATATAATTTATAATATATAATATAAATAATATTTATAATATAAAGCAATCATTAAAAGTTCTATTAATAGGCTTCTGGTAAA